ACGGACAGATGAAAAATCACATTGGAAGAAAGCAATAGAAAATTTATAATTGACCAAAGTATAGAAAAGTACGTGTCCTTGCAGTCACCAGGATTCAGCACTGGTTCAAAGGGGACTTTGAGAATATGGAAAAAAGCATAAGCTTGAACAATGCAAACTTCCTATACTAATGGTTGTTAAAGTCATTATTGGTCAGCACTGAATTATCATAGAAATATTATATTCCAAATAACTAAAAATGAAATAAAATAAGAACAGCATCACGCCCAATTTGATAAACAAGGAACAACTAACCGTGACAAATTGAGTTTACAAGCAACAAATAGCTTTCCCACTAAATCATATGCTAATGGTTTCATAAATTACAAAACAATTTTTGACCAATTAAGTATCTCCCTAAAGAGTAACATAATACTTGTATTCTGTATATTATAGATCTAAACCCTTTGAAGCAGAAACATTATATATAATTTTATAAAAAGTACACTTTATAAGAAAGTGCATTTTTGCTTTTAGCAATTCTAAGTACTTATATTAGGCAGGTCCAAACAAACTCAGTTATTACCAAGTAAAAGAATGTAGAACAGGTATTTATAAACCTTGAAGAATGACCAATTGTCTGCTTGCAGTTTTATGTTAGAACTATTCTTAATCTGCTAAATGGCATGCACTTCTAGCCTCTGACAAAGCCTTGCAATTGAGCAACTCATTCCTTAATCTGGAGCAGAGACAAGAAAAGCAATCATGTTTACACATTTTATCAGACTAAAACTAAGGCTAGGGGAAATGATATGCCTTGATATTGTCTTCTATTAGCGTATATACTGTGTGCATTCATATATTGAGAGTAGGTTAGTGAGCAGAAGGCAAGTAATAACACTTTCCCCTTTCTTGTAACCTCTGCCCACAAAAAAAGAACTTGGAATTATATGGCTAGAGGCCAATCAGCTTCAGTGTGCAATTGTATCTCTGTGGACCAGCATTAACCCAGACCTAGAGCATCATATTCAACTTAATATAGAAACTCCTGTCATCAACACTGTGTCAGCATTTCCAAGGCAAAGACCTAGCATTCCACTATTGCTAACTTGAGCAAATTAATCAAATTTCATTTTAGAGTTAAATAGAGAAAGATGCTGATCTAAAGGAAATGTTTCCTTCCAAGAGGAGGAGGAGGAAGACAAACAGGAAAGTCAAATGCTACCAACATGCTTGAGGATGCTACAGGAAAATGTGTCTCGGGTATTACTACAAAGATCTAAGCCAAATTTGGGGGGGGGGGGGCTAGAGTGCTTTGGTTTTATAGGAAGATGGAGATAGCAGGTCTGGTTGAAATCTGGTAGAATAAACAGAGCCAGTGAGAAAATGTTATCTTTAGAGACAATTTCTATCTGAAGAATAGGGAATATTTCCTTGAACATCTAAATAAATAGATGATGGCATGTATAAAGCAGTCAGAGGCAGGAAGCAAGCAAAGGATATCGTTTAATAGATCATAACAAAAAACATTTACTATTATAAAGCTGGTTTAAATATTCTCTGACTTTTGTCAAATGCTATTGCTGTTCTTTGTCTACCTGAAGGAGGTGTATGTGTAACCTTTTTTAAAATTTTCATATATATTGATGTATATTTTCAATATACCGTACATCAATATATATCTACAGGTATATTTATACCTATTTATAAACTATAATGTATATCAATATATATCAAGGATTATATATTGAAAAATTAATTCTCTATGTCTGTTTGATAAATATTCTAACTGAAGCTGACATTTTATAAAATGTCCATGATAAATCCAAACACTGCATTGCCATATGTTACAGTACTCTTATTACCTGTAAAAGTATCTCATTTTTAAAGAATCAATATTTTGATAACTAAGAAACTAAATTCTGTTCCACTGCAGGTTGAAACAAATACATTCCCTTTAAAGACAGAAATAGCTTTAACTATTTTTAAGAGAGATACTTTTAAGAATATTCTTTAGTTTGATGGGTAGAAAGACATACTTTTGAGTTTTTCTGGCAACATGTACATATACTGTAATTCAATATCTATATATATTACATCATATAAATCAAGAAAATTAAGAGTCTTCTGATGCCTTGCATGTTAATGTTTAGAGTCCTCAAAAGCTTCTGTGACAATAAATTTTGAAAGGAACTAAATAAATCTGTATATTTCAAATGTGCCATAAGTTTTGTTCTTTTTCGCGTAATGCATTCCTATATTTACCCTCACATGCATAAATAAGCTTTAGACCACGACAAATCTCTGATCTGTTAATCTAAGTTAATATTTATTTTTCATTCTCTATTACCATAGCGTATCACAAAACAGCCTTAAAAATGTCTCCATGTTAAAATTAGCAGCGGTACTCTTGATTAATCATCTGGAGCTTTAATTAATTCATTGATTAATGTTTGCTATCTTATTTGCTTTCTAATATATAACAGGAAGCACAATTAATGAATGCTTTCTTGACAGAAAGTTATTGGAGATTTGTATGAGAAACATTTTATGAAGTTTACACACTCGTGATTTCATTAAACTGCTCCTGTTTACATGAGAATTGAAGGACTGCTGTGGTACAGAGAATGGGAGATAGTACTGTAATTCATATCCCAATGCCAGGTTCTAAAGCTACCATATCTCAGTCTATTGTACCCTATAGAGTAGGTTATTGCAGGATTCAGCTATAAACATAGACCTATCCCAGTGGTGGCGAACCTATGGCACGGGTGCCAGAGGTGGCACTCAGAGCCCCCTCTGTGGGCACGCATGCCGTCGCCCCAGTCCTAGGCCTTCAGCTGGGTTTTATAAAACCTTTTTGCTTTAGGCCTCTGCCGCTGTGTGCAAAAAAAAAAAGGTTCAATCAATCAGTCAATTTCAACTTCTTGCGGGAAAAACAAAGATCTTGCAAAGTTGGAATTGATTGATTGAACTTTTTAGTCCCACCCAGTCTGCTGTTACCACCGCAGCCACGCCCACCCAATGGGCCACACCCACCCGGCACCCAACGATGCATAAGTGGGTTTTGGGTTGCAGTTTGGGCATTCGGTCTCTAAAAGGTTCGCCATCACTGACCTATCCTCTTTTGCACCTTCCATAGTACAAAGGAAACAGACACTCACAGCTTGTTTATTGCAACAGTTGCCTTTAGCTGTATTGATGTTAAAGGAGTGTTTCCCCCTTAACATTTATATGCAGCCTCAAGATGAATAAAATATGTTATGCTTCACCTTTATACCCCAGAAGCAAAGTCAGGTAACCAGCAGTGGGTAAGATCAGAGGGGTGCTAATTGGTCATTTCAGGCTAATTCAAAAAATGTCCTTCTCACCAGGCCCTGAACTGTCACCTCTGCCACCACTCTGCTCTTGCTTTCTAAAAAAAACTGGAGATCTTTTGGGTTTGCCCAAGGCATCATGACCGTTTAGCCAACACTACCTTAGTACTTTAAGCCTGTAGTCCTCACCAGTTTAGTGCAACGTTTAAGTAATGTTAAGTATATTTTATTTCTTCCCACGAGGATTCCTACTTGCATGCCATCAAATGCCATATTGCTGCCTTTCAAATATGAGGGGGTGAAATTAAGAACTGGTTGCAGAACCTGGCTGAACTTTAAGGAAACACCCATGCAGAGGTCCAAACACCTTAAAAACTACAATTCTATTTCAGAATTTTGCTCACAATCAGTTCTTTTATAGCACCTGAAACCCCTGGAATGTGCTTCTTTGCCTACCACTTGGTAGTTTTGACTAGGTTCTGTCCTCCTTTGGTTGATGGCGTTTTGAGTCCTTTTAGCTCTGATCTTCTGACTTCAGACTAGATTACTAGAACCTACATGGAAAAGCCTGTGGAATGTTTTTGTTATTATCCTATTTGCCAGCTTGAAACATTTAAAACACTGTATTGGCCTCTTTTCATAAGAAAAACAAAGAACCTTTTTCTTTTTCTTTTCTAAACTCAAGGTATTTTGTATCTATTTCCTCTTTTGTAATTGATATTTTAATCTGTCTGACAAAATGGGATGTAGTCAACGAAAGCTAATGCCACAATATATTGATCTCCTGTTTTCTCTGAAATTATTAAAATCTTGGTTGATCGTGTGGAAACTCAAAAAGCTGACAATTTAGAGACTTGCAACTTAATTACAAACAACTGTAGGGATGAATTTCCTTCAATAGATTTCCTAAATTAATGGTGGTGGTCAGCATCCCATTATTTGTATAATCTGGCCACACTCTTCCTCACCTTCAATCTGAAAAGAATGGGAATAGGAGAAAAATTCCTGACAGGACTGTATTATTCAATAGTAACAATAGGAAGCCCAACCTAGTACCTATAAAAATAGCCTATGATACATTTACAAAGGATGGGGGAATATATTAGTTACCCACATGACATGTCATGTCATGTCATGTCATGTCATGTCATATCATACCATACCTCATATCACATTTCTGGACTAACATACTGGCAGTTCATGCATACAGTTTTGCTATTAAAAAAACCTGAAGATAATTACCACTAGAAATTGTTACCCTCATAAAAAGTATTAGCTATCTATGAAATAGGAGCATTCAAGCTTAAAAGGTCTTTAACGTAAACCTTGGATAGTGATTATTTAAATTACATATGAGTGGTATCCTAACATGGTGCTGCCATGAACAAATATGCTGTTAGATCTCCCCTTGTGTGGGAAAGAAACTGACAGAGCCAAGGGAAGGAGTTAAATGAGGTATCAGTTTAGAATCATTAGATAGTCACAAAAGAACAACCCTTGAGAGCAGTTGACCCTTTCCTAGTTCTGTCCAGGTGCAAGCCGTTAGTCTGAGAAGATTTCTGTGCATAGGCTTTAGCAATAAACCAATAATTAGAACCTTCACATGTGGACCTGGTTTTTTGAGCCTAACACCTTGACTCCCTCCAGGGACTCCCTCCTTCAAATGTATTTTACATTCAATTATTGAAAGGAAAGAATACTTACATTATCATTGCTTCCTTTGTTGTCCTCATATTTGGTCTCTATGTGAATGGAGAACTTGGGCAAAAATGAGCACTGCAAAGAAAACACATAATACAACAATTAATACCCATTAACAATTTCATGATGTCCTTTTTCCATTACAGTATCCTGGCTATAATTCCTACCTGCCTCATATTTGGGAGAATTAGCCTGACATTTATAGGCGCAAAATCTCTATAAGGACAGGAAAAAAGAATACTGCACAAGTTCAACATTCTCCATGAACTTTTTCAGCCCATGGATAGTTTCCTAAATTTTGCTGGCAAGTTACACTTTCATCAGAACCATAGCATTTGTTTTCTGTGAAGATAGTTATGCTGCACTTGCAAGGGTAAGTAATAAAAACAAACCAATTTATAGGAAAAAAATAAACTTTGAGAAGAAAGACAGAAGAGTGGATGTAACTGGCATATGAATTGAAGGAAGTTGAATCTTTTTGCCACCTACCATATTTCAGTTGCCTAATTATCAAAATTATTTTTCCTGCCATAGAATTCCTAATGTATGCTTGGAGATATTTTTCATTGATGTAACAACTTCCAGATTTATGACAAATAAATCAGGATAGAATGAATGAATAGAATGAAATCATCATCATCATCATCATCATCATCATCATCATCATCATCATCATCCCTGTAAGATAGAGGTCTTCAAACTTAGCAACTTTGAGATTTGTGGACTTCAGTTCCCAGAAGTTCTCAGCACAACTGGCTGACAAATTCTGGGAATTGAAGTCCATAAGCCATAAAGGGGCTTTCCCACCCCTGCTGTATGATGCTAATCTACTATCTTCATGTCCTTCTGCATAAAAAAGACCCACAAAAGGACTTTAAATGACATGTCTTCATGACATTGCCATTGTTTCATCCACAGAGGAAGAAACCTCAAAAGGAGTCTTTCCTCCACCAGACAGAATGTTGGTCACGGCCACAGTCTAGGATACAACTGACAATGTGCTTGAGGCTGCAATTCACACATATCCTATGCACCTGTTTAGTCTTCTATGGAAAAGACCTCTCCTCTACTTACTGGGCTCTGGACTCCATAGCCATGTTGGCTTGAGCTGCAGAAATGACCAGTTATCACCTTCCATACTGGAATCTATTCCTGTGTCCAAATACTACTTTTCTTAGCATTTGTCAGATCTTATACACAATTTGTCCTCGACTTACAACCATTTGTTTAGTAACCATTCAAAGTTACAACAGCACTGAAAAAAGTGACTTATGATCATTTTTCACACTTATGACCACTGCAAGCATCCCCAAGGTTATGTGATCAAAATTCATGCATTTGGCAACTGGCATGTAATTATGATAGTTGCATTGTCCCGGGGTCACGTGATCACCATTGGTAACCCTCCCAGCCAGCTTTTGACAAGCAAAGTCCATGGGGGAAGACAGATTTGCTTAATGACCATGTGATTCACAACTGTAGTAATCTGCTTAACAGCCATGGCAAAAAGGTCATAAAATGAGGCAAAATTCATTTAGCAATTCATTGCTTAGCAATAGAAATTTTGGGCTCGGTTGTAGTCGTAAATTGAGGACTACCTGAAGTCTCTTTATAATCATGGGTTCAGATGTGCTAGATGTGTTTTTTGAACAAGGGTTTAAAGATTGCTCAACTCTTGTGCTGCACAGGAGTGTGACTGATGCCAGGAAACAGATTTGGGTTCTGCTTCTTCTCCCCCAATGAGGTACTGTAAACGTTCTGCTGCTTTTGCTGGCAAAGGGTTTCACATGACAATGGTTTTTACTGGGGCGGGCACTGCCACTCGCTTCACCTTTATGTCACCATAATATGCTATGGTGCAGAGGAGAGATGCTGGATGAAATGGGAGGGAGTGTCCCTGGTGCCTCCCTTCATCCTTCTGACCTGTTAGCTGGACTGTTTTTGTACAGGTGTTTAGTGCTCCCTCCAAAGAGTGCTGGACCCATGTTTTAAAAAAGCCTGTTATGATCGGTTATGCAGGCAACTTAATAGCATTCCAAGCATCATTTACACTTGCCCAATGCTGCCACCACCATCACACATTAAGGAATATTGGTTATTTTTTCTGCTGGCAAGAAAAAATGGAAATTTTTGGTGGAAGAAGAGACAGTCAGGGAAACTCACCGCTTCCTTTAACCTGTCTCACATTCAGCACCACTGACTAGCCCTGTAACTGAGATAGAATAAAGTTTAGCAGCCAATTTATGCTGGTATATTTTTCTGACAATTTAAGCAATGGAGGAATGTGTGTTAACCTGGCTATGACAAAGTATCCAAAGAGTGACAGAATAAAGTATATTAGCCAAATGCAAGTATTTCAAAGAGAACCGAGTGTGTAGATGCTGGATTCTTGTCTAAATGTTAGCTGAATAACAAAAGAGTCCAGCCCAGGATAAAAATCCTCTCCAGAAGGATCCAAGCTGAGTCAATTTTTAGAAATAAGAATAAAGTAGCAGTTTGTAGGTAATGCTATACTCTGGAGAGTCATTCCCACTCATTTCAAACTAACTAAAGTGATTAACCATCTGGCTCATATTGGCAGCTTAATATATCCTAAAAGTACCTTAGTAATTGCGCTTTGAATCTAGAATTTATTCTATTTTTAAATTCCCATGCTTCTGTAGTACGTACTCCAACTCCCCAACTCCTCCAATCCTAGTCTGTGAGAAAGAAGATCATCCCATTGTGCTTGAGTGGCAGACTCTGGATTCACCCTATGTCTTTAAGGTGCCTTCCTATAACCTTCTTCTTTAATTTATGGAAAAATAATTTCCATAATTCTAAAAATGGTAAAGTAACTGTCCCATACACTGGGTTCATTATGATTAGGACAAAAAATTAATTCATTATTTTCTAAAGCCTCCCATCTCAATCCAGTGACTCTGGGTGGCGAACAATTCTAAAACAATCAGCAGTTAAAAATAGTATAAAAATAAATATGTATATCAACTGAGAACATTATCATAATAATTGTCAGTATAGCCAAGAAACAGGGCCCTTAACACATTTGGGGGCCCAGTCCTGGGCACATAGCCAAGTTTTTAAGGTCTTACACAAGAACCACAGGATTGCATCAACTTAAATCTCTGAAGAAAGGATGTTCTAAAGGGCAAAGGCTACAGCAGAGAAGGCCTGTCTCCTGATTTGTGCCTGGCGATTTTTCTTGCTGACAGGACCCACAGTATACCTGACTTGCCAGACCAAATTGGTTGGGTAGAAACTGTTAGGAAAAGATGATCCTTTAGTAAACTGGTCCCAAACCATATAGGGCTTTAAAGAAGACAACTAAAAACTGCAATTGCACTTGGAAACACACCGGTAATCAAAGCAGCTCAAGCAATAGTGTTGTTATATGTATCACATATCTGACACAATTTACTGCCCATGCAGCCACATTCTGTACCATTTGAAGCTTCCAAATGCTCTTTTAAGGGCAACCCCGTGTACAATGTATTGCAGTAGTCCAAACTAGAGGTTTCTCCTTTGAAAATGGAAACATACAGAAATTAAAGTGGAGTGTTGAATGGTTGGTTGGTTGGTTGATCAAATGCATATCTTGATATTTTAGGACTAAGTGCATATTTGGAAATATTTGAAATTTTAGCATCAACTGATTTAATAAGAGGTTTTGTGTTTTGTCCATATAGGATGCCATTTTGTGTCCCATTTTAAGGAAAGGCTATTTCTTGCTATTTTTAGATTTTTGCTGCACTTTAAACTATAATCAATGACATAATATGTACACTTACTATCAACATTTAACAGTAACTATCTAAATCTAGATTATAATGCAAGTATTTTGGGATTCATCCTATGGATCCATTGTATTTAGCAAAGATAGTAAATGACTGCAACATACAGAATGGTACTTTAGTGACAACGTATTAATTCATACAAGAAATAAAATCAGATACAAATGCAAAAAGTTGATGTTGCAAGCATATTAAAATTTAAAACATTTGATTCCTACTTGTTTCAATTCCTTTGGGCATAGACTTTTCAAGTACTAAACTAGCATTTTTGTTAGCACACATGGCATATAAAGGAATACACAGAGCATATTCTCCAATTTCCTATTTAACATTTCTAGAAGTGGCCAGGTGCTGCTCTACAGATAAATAATAATGAATCAAAATAATATTTGTAAGAGATACTCTGTCACAAACTGAAGCAGGCAACAGAGAAAATCTCATTCTCAGGATCCGGTTTGTCAAATTTTTGAGAAACTTGAGAAAAAAACAACTATTAAATGCTAACAATTTCTCCTAAGCCAACATTACTGAGGGTCCTCCATTTGGGTTTTCTGCCAAAAAATCAATTTGTTCCACATGCAATTGTGCAGAAATTTTTCAGCATATTTGAAAACTGGTATCATGCCCTACCTATTTTAAACCAAACACATCCCCTCTTAGTACTCAGTTTAAATCCTTCCGATAATCTTGACTGTCTTTCCAATCTGTCTGAATGTGTGAGGTCCAAAATGTGTGGTTTCGCCACTGTGAAACAGAAAGCAACTCTTTCTTCTCCTAGTTTGAAAACTCTTCTTTTCTTGATGGAATCTAAAACTAAATCTAAATCATAGCTTGGTATCATTTTTCCAAGAACAAATGCCAATCCAGAGAACTATCCTTGTTACTGAATTACCACGATACACAAATATCCATTTGACTTCATTTTGCCTTTGGGGAAAATGATATTTATTAAAAAAAATGTGTATGTCTGCATAAAATTGCAGACAAGTTATCCCAAAAGTGCTTTTCAAAAGGCAACTGGACTTTCTTTTTTTTTTTCCCTTGAAAACTTTTCACTTCTCATCCAAGAAACTTCTTCAGTTCTAATGAGAAGCAAAATGTTTTCAAGGAAAAAAAAAAAGTCCAGTTGCCTTTTAAAAAGCACTTTTGGGACAACCATGACCTGGATGACAGAGAATCTCCACAGACCAGTGGCCCCCACCCTTTTGGACACCAGGGACCAGTTCTGTGGAGAGTTTTTTCTGTGGACCGGGGGGGGGGGGGCATGGTTTTGCATCCTGTGAC